CAAGTATCCAACACTTATATGAAGCCAGAATATGGTCTAATACCTGCCCACATAAGTGAAAAACTCATATCAATTCAAGATGAGGGATGGGGAACGAGGGAGCGGGGAGAAAGGAGAAAGAGGGCCATGGGTGTGCCCCCACTTAAAGGGCACAGTGTTAGGGTGTATGGCACACCTCTTGGGGGTGGGACACAACTATAAGAGGGACTCTATCAAACCAATGCAAACATTGTAACCTATCTCTTTATACCCTCAAATTAACCTGAAATAAAAAATTACATAAAATTTTAAAAAAGCAGTAATGAGACCTATTCATCTTATGAAAATATTAATCATAACCTCAGCTTGGGGTTAAATTAACACCGTGGTAACATCTTTTTCCAACCAGGGCATACAGAATCTTGGGAGAGTTAGGAAGTATTTGAAGCCACCAGACAAATGTGGCTCGTCTTCCTAAATCTTCATTTTACTAAAAAGCATAAAGGAAATAAACCTTTTCTTTCAACAGTAAGACAAACCCTGAAATTATGGGGTAGAGTGAAAGTTTGCACATGGATTTTCAGAAAGAACAGATGTAAAAAATTTACCCTGATTCTGATGTCACACACCCAGGATTTCCATATCTGAATTTATCCTTTTCAGCTGTGGGATACTTAGAGGTTGTAAAGCGCTCTCCTTATTAAACCATCAGTATACTAAACAAACAAACAAACAGACAAACAAACAAATGGTAAATATATTCTTTACACTTTTTTGATGAAACATCAGTGGTTATTAATTATTGCTTGACTTAATGTACCCCAAATTTGATTTAAAATTTTGTTCATTGTTCATCTAATTTTTAGCCTTTTTCTTTGCAAGACTATGTTCTTGGTATTTTTCTGAAGAATGCCCTTTTCTCAACATGGACATATATTTTTTCCACAAAGTTGCATGTATTATTTCCTAAAATTTTATTTTATGAAAAATAAAACTGAAATTCCTTGCAATAGATTCTTCCTGTAGAATAAAATGGTTTAATTAAGGAAGTTATCTCTATAGGTACCTGGTAGAGTTAATATACAATGCAGGATATTATAACTTAATTTTTGGCATAAATATATCAGTCCAAGTATATCAAGAGGAATTGTCTTAAGACCTCCCTTTAGAGTATTTCTATGAACAAAATTTTTATATGACTAAACTTATTAAATATGTTGCATCTCTTTATGATTCTTTGAAGGTTTTACTGAATTTAGGTGTTCCAAAATCATGGGCCTTCTCAATTTTATTTCATTCCAGTTCAGAATATAAATTCATCCAATTAGTAATACAGCTCTATCAAAAGATTCTGTCTACCAGTTAAGATATTCCAAAGCATGATTATAAAATTTCAGAATAAAACCTGGTTTGAGCTTTCATCACTTAGTTTGTGGAGCTCACTTTTGAGGTGGATAAGTTTCAATGGCCTCCTGCTTATTTTCAATATTGCTTTTTTTTTTTTTAAACCTGACTAAACTTGTGCTCAGGAGGCCAATAATTATGTCTGATTTTGGTAGAATACTTTCACGACTTCCAAATGCCATTAGAATTTCAAGGACTTATTTACAAAAGGGCCCAAAACCATTGTCAGTCACTTAGGCTGGTTTACAAGGGGCTTTTTTGAAGACTCAAATATTTTTAATATTAGCTTGAAAACAGACAGTAGAGAGAGATAACTTGGACTACTTTAATCAGTTTTGCCATAGACATTTTGAAGTTCAGTTTCTCTATGTATAAACGTAAGTATTTACACAGGAGAAAACTGTAGTTTCTATTTGAATAGAATAGTGCAGCCTGTCTGAATGCAATTATCAATTTTACACACACCACAGCAATATCTTCTGTTAAACACAGTTTTAATTTAATTTAATTTAATTATTTTTTTGCAGTTTTTGGCTGGGGCTAGGTTTGAACCTACCACCTCTGGTATATGGGGCCTGCACCCTACTCCTTGAGCCAATTTTATTTTATTTTTTTGTTTTACTTTTTATTTTCTTGAGACTAAGTCTGACTTTGTTGCCCTCAGTAGAGTGCTCTAGCATCACAGCTCACAGCAACCTCAAACGCTTGGGCTTAAGCGATTTTCTTGCCTCAGCCTCCCAAGTAGCTGGGACTTACAGGCGCCTGCCACCACGCCCAGCTACTTTGTTGTTGTTGTTGTTGTCTTTGTTGTTTTAGCAGGCCCTTGCCGGGTTGGACCCACCAGCCCCAGGGCACGTGGCTGGCCCCCTAACCACTGAGCTATAGGTGTCGAGCCTAAACACATTTATAAAATTTACTGAGAATATTGTTTTCAACACGCCCTGTGCTCCATCACAATTTTTATTCATTATACTCTTGGCAAAACAATAACTTTACCTTTGGTGCTGAACTTCTGCACAGCATTTGTGATGGCAATCCCCCTGATGTCAAATGTTTCACCTTTGGCTGAATGAACTCACAAAAGGTTGATGTTGATTCCATAGATTGACCAGTAAATCAAATCGTTATTAAAATCGCTTTTATACTTGGGGTATCCCAGGACAAGGATACAGACCTGGCGTTGATGTGCTGTATGTGGCGTGCCTCTGCTGAACAGCCTGCCACTAACTAGTACTTCACCTTCCCTAACTACTCAAACACTGGAATCCCGATATAGAGGGAAGCAGATTCTGGAACATCAATCTGTGGGCCTAAAGGAAGAGTCGCTCTTCACAGAGTGACGCAGACGTGCCCCTGAGGGCTGGGGGTTCACAGAGTGACGCAGACGTGCCCCTGCGGGGCTGGGGGTTCACAGAGTGACGCAGACGTGCCCCTGCGGGCTGGGGGTTCACTTGTCTTTCTGTTCTTTAGTTCTGGTGTCAGGCTCGGGCCTGATGGCCGGGACTTGGGAAGAGTCTTGGGAGTCAGGGGCTTGATTCCACATTGGAGGCCCACTAGGTGTCCGGGGGGCCATCTCTCTGTCTGGGGCCTAGTCTCCTCACTTCACATTTTTGGGGTCAGGGGAGTGGCTTCCAGGGTGCTCTGTGGCTCTGGCCACCATGGTTGGGATGGCTGAGCTCTTGGGCCTTCCAGCCTTTCTTAATGGAATGCAGTTAGCTGGGTGACCTCCAGCAGGACAGGCTTCTCGGCCTCTGAGGCTCAGCATCACTGTGGCAGCTGCCCTGAAGGTTCTCGGTTGATTCAAGTCTTAAATGTTTGGAATGATATCTCTCTATTTTTTGCACTGTTTAATTGTTGCTATTTCTCCTGTTGTTTCAGTAAATCTGTGAGAAGCATCTTGGTGTGTTTTTTCTACATTTGTAATTCTGGTCACCATCCCTGGAGTGGATGTGTGGTCCTGCACTGTCCCCTGGGCTGCTTTCCCATAACACAGCCGGGGACTAGGAGGTGAGCAGAAGCAGCTGGCCCTCCAGCTGATGTCACCAGTGAATGGCTGGGCCAGGATTTGAACCCCAACACCTCTGAAGTTTAAGGCCATTCTCTTTCCACTCTGCTGTGGATATAGTCCTAGAAAGGTGATGACTGGGTGAAATAATGTGAATATCTTCAAAGCTCTTGGGGCAAATTTTTACCTCCTTATGAACTGTCAGGATTGGGACACAACGTGTGTGCCTCAGTGAGCGTGCGTGGAGCAGGGAGGCGGCCTTCCTGTGGACGCTGGGCCTCAGCTTCTTGAGGTGAAGGGCGGCCACCAGGCCTGGGCCATTGAGTACTGGCTGGTGGCAGACCTCCTTTTCCTGCTCCTCTTACTTCTTGGCTGACAGGCTCTGCCACACATTGAAAGCTGCTGGAACTTTAAAATGCAGGTTCTTCTTCTTCTTCTTTTTTTTTTTTTTTTATTAAATCATAGTTGTGTACGTTAATACTATCATGGGGTACAGTGTGTTGTTTCCATGTACAATTTGAAATACTTTCATGCAAGTGGCCAACATAGCCTTCATGTCATTCTCATAGTTGTTGTGTTAAGACATTTATATTCCATATTTAGAAGGATTCACATGTACCCTTACAGGATAAATCATAGGCATGATCCCCACAACCACTCTCTCTCCATCCATCCTCCCCCCTCCCCTCCCCTCCCTCTCCCCTTTCTCTGTATTCTTGGGCTAAAGAATATAGCTTTCCTATGATAGCTAAAAATTAGTTTCATGATAGGGTCGAGAACATTGGATACTAAAATGCAGGTTCTTGGGTGGTCAGACAAAGAATCGAAAGATCCACCACCGCCAAACGACAAACACTCAAACAGACGAGGGCGGGCCAGAATGAGCCCCGGCAAGGACCACTTCTTGTTACAAGAGCCAGGGCCTCTTGTAGAAAAAAGTACAGAGAACAGTCTTGGTTGCTACAGGATTGGGCTACCAACCATCTGCCTGCTGAGAGGCACCAAGCAAGATACACTGTTGGGGGGTGCCCTGGCCAGAGTCTCGTACTGGAACCTCTAGCCATTGGGATGACCAGGATAAAATAGAAGAAGATACTACGTTAAGACACTCAGAGTTTATTGAAAGACAAAACAAAGGTCTACAAAGCTAAGGCAAAGCTTAATAGTAGAGGGATGGCAGAGACAGCTCACCACCTCCCGCACAAACTCCCGCGCCAACTCTGACTTCTTTTTTTTTCTAGGATGCATTAAAATTTGGTTTAATAATTCTTTGAGGCAAAAAAAGAAAATCACACTTGTAGTGAATGAACAAGAAACATTGTTACAGTAGCAGTAGGTTATTATTTTTAACTACCATCCCATGAATTCGTAGGGAAGAGGCTCCAGTAGCTCAGGGAGACACCTTGCCCTTGAATGTGACAAAGCATTGATTGACTTTTGAATTCATGAGAAATAGGTCCCAGCACCTTGTATCACTGTTACACGGGGTCTAATTGGTTATCCTGTGTGCTGTGCTGTACACCTATTATGCCATGAACTCAGGGGGAATAAATAGGTTCTTGCACCTAAAAACACAGGTCCACTGGTACTCCTGTGTGCTGTGTTATATGCTTTATGCCATGAATTCATAGGGAATGGGTTCCAGGAGCTCAGGCTCCTTTCCATTGGTTCTCACAAAGTGGGCTTCTCTGGGTGGAGCAGGCTGGCGCTTCAGTTGAACCCAGGTACCTTTCTCTGTGGCTTCCTTCTTTTTCTGATCATTTTCCTTCACACGTTTCAGGAAGCTATCTCAGCTCTTAGAGTGCTTAATATGCTCAATACGAACATTAATCCTCTTGGCAAGAATCTTGCCCTTAACTTGTTTGTTTACAACAATGCCGACAGCATGCTGGGTAACATTGTAGACTCTTCCAGTTTTGCCATGGTAACATTTGTGTGGCATGCCTTTTTGAACAGTACCCATTCCCTTGATGTCTACAATATTACCTTTCTTGTAGATTCACATGTATGTGGCCAAGGGAACAACTCCATGTTTTCTAAAAGGCCTAGAGAACATCTGTTGGGTGCTTCTCCTCTTTCCTTTGTGTTTGTCATTTTGGTGAATTACTGGAAGATGGCGTCTCTGTCTGACTTCTTACGTATTCCATAAATTAGACTTAGTTTTAGCTTCTGTTGTAACATTCTCGCTTACTCTCTACTTTGCATCTTAATGACTTCTTGTAGGGGGTGGTCAGTGCTGGTACCATCTGACCTGTGGTTCTGCCTGCTTGCTTCTGTTCTTAGATAAGTTCCTCCCTATGTTGAAATAAACACTGGTTTTTCTTGCTTGTCAGCTCTAAATCTTGTTCTGTTGATTTTTAAACTATTTGTTTCCATCAGGGCTGCTTCCTGCCTTTTATTTCAGCGATCCCCTTCAACATCACGGGGCATGAAGGGGACCAGGCCTATTGAGGCCACTTCCTACGTAGCCTTGGGCCAGCCTCTGAAGTCCATGTCCAACCCCTCCTGGGACAGGGGCAGGGTCACAGCCCTTGTCTTGCAAAGAGATCTGGGAAGAGCCAAACAAAAGAGCAGATGCTAACATGCTTTGAAATATCAGAAAGAATTGTACTGTTGGAAAGTGTCACTGTAATTGATAATAACAATATCTCGGCACAGGATTTCCCACTGGGCCCCTTTCTATAGTGTTTTAGGAGACAGATGAGGCTATTCTTGGATCTTACCACCTGCCATACTCCCCAGGCCCCCTCTAGACTAAGAGAAATGTGTCATGAGAGGCCTTTCACGAGGTGGGGGGGTGGGGGGGTGGGGGGCGACTATGAAAAGAGATGTGCTGAGGAGCTTTGCAGGCTTTTCACGGAGGAGATGGACTTAGGGCTTCATCTTTATTCATGCTTCTCTGAAGACCATTCTGGGGCACCTGCTGTCAGCTTGCTGGGTGGCCCTGGGCCAGTCCCTGCTGTGGCCCCTCCCCTCCCCCAGGCTCCAGCGTTCAGTGGGGGAGGGCAGAGGGAGACTGGCATTAAAGCTGCTCCAATGTGTGCGGGGTGTGACGCTCCAGGCAGGCAAGCCTTTGCATGTGTAAAGACCTGATTATCTCCCTCCTTCCCTCTGGGCTGGCTGCACTATTGGCAAGGCAAGCACCCAGTGCCTGAATGGACGTTTCTAGGACAGTGTTACTCCCTCCTGTATCCAAGGCACCAGGCTAGCAGAGGCCCACAAAGCAGGGGCCAGCCTGCTTTTATTGAGTCCAGGGCATGTTTATCCTGCAGCAGGAGCGTGATCATGACAGCAGCATCAGTGGTGGAGCCTGGCGCTGAGCCCTGCCTGCCCCGACGTTGTGCTGTGCCTGCCGCTGTGGTGAACACCTCTCACCCCCACGCTCTGCAGGCTGGGGGTGTAGGAAGGAAAGTCTCTGCCCCTGCTGGGTTCGCTGTTTCCCAAGGGACTGACTGATATATAATTTTTACACAGGACAATTTGGACAGAAATCTTATTTTTTAAAAATCAAAATGTGCCCCCACGAGAGAGTCTACATGTGTTGGTCAATACTGCTGAATTTCTCTTGAAATCGTTGGGGGTGCAGTCTCCACCCGCATCCTATCTGAGCACCCGTGACGTGCAGTCAGGAATGAAGTGGGCTAGAACAATGAACCACACCAGCTGCCCTGTGTGCCAGCCTGTGGCACAAGGACCACCCAAGGTTGGCTGGTGGGCAGTGCCTCCTGTTGGCTGGGGGAGCGGCGAAGACAGCAAGGCTGGAGTGCAGGTGTGGGGGCCCCTGAGCGGCGGAGAGAAGGGCCAGGTGGGAAGGCTGCGGCCAGTGTACAGAGGAGGCAGCAGGCAGGGCTTTTTGTTCTGTTTCTGCTCTGCACTGTGGCCCTGCATGTTTCTCCAACTTTCAGGAAAGTCCTGGTTTCTCAGTGGGAGGTGGGTTGTGCCCTGGGTTTGTGTTTATGATATCTGGAAGTTTTGAGGGCGGCCACACTGGGACCCACCTACATTCAGCAAGAAGCTAGGGCTGTGCACAGGGGTTGGGGGCAACAGCAGCTCTCCTGGGTACCTGACCTAAAGGGGTCCTGAGCAAGGGAGTGTGTTGGTTGGATGAGGAGGAGCTTGGGTCCCAGTGTTCCCTACAGCCCAGAATGAGGAGGGGGCCTTCTGGGGTAGGGATGGCAGAAGGCCCTGCCTGCCAGGCTAGCTGGGTCGAACTAGGTGGGGCCCAGAAAGGTTTGACGAAGATGTCTGTGCTGCCGCTGGAGGGGAAGGGGCTTAGGGAAACGGGGCTTTCTCCAGAGGCATTTTGTAGGTGGACCGAAGGGCAAGGCTCTGAAAGGGTGGGGCTGAGACCTCTGGGACTGCAGAACCCAGGGGCAGGGAGGGGCCTGGAAAACTGGGGCAGGGGCAGGGAAAAGGAGGTGAAGAGAGGGTAGGAACCCGTGGGTCCAAGAAAACAAAAACAAGAGACGAACCACCCCTCCCGTGAGGGCAGAGAGAGCTGGCCTTCCCCGGCCCAGCCTGCAGCCTCCCCTAGGTGCTGCCTAGAGGTGAGGAGCCACCGAGCCTTAAAAGCTGACCCTCCCAGTGAGTGTTCCATCCCCTGCTTGCTGGTTCTGCCCAGGTGATTATGGCACCAGGCAGGGCTCACCTCTGGGCAAAATTCAGATTTCAGGGTCCTGGCTCTGGAGCGGGGGGCGGGGGGGGCAGGCTGGGGGCCCAGGTGGAGCACCCACTCCCTAGGCAAGATCAGAGGTTTTCTGAGGGTCTCCAGTATGGTGCTGCCCACCTCCTTCTCTGCCTTTGAAAATGTCCCCTGCCCCTGCTCCGGCCCCTGTGTCCTTTTTCTAGCTACCCGTCTTGGGGGCCACTGCAGCTACGGCCACTCCCTGCTGGCCCAGTGTGGTGGGCAGAGGGTGGACAGGCATCTTTCCCCTGAGGCTGGGGAGTCCCTCAGGTCTCTGCACATATCAAGAGGGGCTAGAGGCAGCTTCCAAGGTACAGATGGTGGGCAATTTCTCAAATATGAGAAGCAGAGAAACCCTTGAGTACTGAGCTTGGGGCAGAGGTGGTGGTGGGGCCCCAGGGCGAGGTGCCCCACCGCTGGAGTCCCAGGGTGAGGGGCATTGGCGCCGTGGGCCGCTCCCTACCTGGGGCTGTGATGGATGCTGCCCTATGCCAGCGGGCAGTGAGGGGTGAGGGCTCCTGCTGCGCAGGTTTCTCTCTGAAGGAGAAGCCCTGTGTGGCAGGTGCCGCTGCCCGCCTCTGCTGGACGCCTCACAGGGGAATCTCAGAGGGGGTCACTTCCACCAGCAGCAACTGGGGAGAGCACGCAGCCCTGCCCTGCGAGGCAGCGGGAGGACTCTGGGACAACTGTACTCAGGACCAGCAGCCTGAATCACAGTCCTGCTTGGGGGTGGGTGGCTTTGGGTGGGTGACAAGGAGCTGCTGGCACTTAGCTGGCTAGACTCCTTAACAAGTATCAGGGGCAGAATTTTTAATGTACCCTCTGAATTCTGGCCCTGGCTGGGACTGTGCAATGGCAGCTGGGTCCATCCTTTGACCATGAGCACAAACATGTCCCAGGTAAAGAGTGGTCAATGCCTGTTTGAGGGAAGGCGGGGCTGTGCTGTGCTGTCTTAAACATTTCCAGTCAAGCAAATCTTGTTACAGCAGATGCAGACAGCTTCTTCCTTGCCTGTTTCCTCCTGAGGGGGAGTCCTGGGTGTCCTGGCCCCTCCCTCAGCCTGGTTAGTGCAGGGAGTGTGCTCTTTCCACAGATGATCATCTTGGCTCCTTACTAACTGCATGACCTTGACCTAGTTACTAATCTCTCAGAGCCACTATTTTTCCCTCTGTGAAATGGATTGAAGATGTCCCCAGGGGTAGGGCCAAGCATCCCTTTACTTGGCTGCCTCTCAGGGCCCATGCGAGCTTCCCTCTTTGGGGGGAGCAGCCTTCAGATCTCAGCCCTTTAGTCCAAAAGGAGAGTCATCAGAGTCTCCACAGAGGGCACCCAAAGAAGGCAAGGTTAGCAACACGGAGTGACCTGCTGGTCCTGCCCCATCCTGCTGCTTTTCTCTCTAGAGGTCAGGCTGTGGTGGTGCCAGAGTTTCTGTACAGCTCATGTCTCTGCATTCTTAGGAGCAATATGGCCTTAAGTGTTTTTAACGTCATTTAAGCTGCTCCATGGGCCACATGTTAATACTTTTCTGTAACTTATTTTTCCCCATCACCATTGTATTGGAGCCTCACCTATGTCAGCGTTTCGGGGCTGCATCACTTAATTTGAATATTATATTGTGCTATTTTACATGAACGTGCCCAATTTATTTGCTCACTTAGATGATTTCAGGTTTTTAATTTTTATTACAGACAGACCTGTCCTATCCGTGTCTCCCTGTTGGACATGAGCAACTGCTTCAAGAAGTCAGGCGGCTGGTCGGAGAGCAGACAACCCGAGCTCCCTCTGCGAGGTGTGGTCTTCTCACATTCCCACCAGCGGGACGTCACACCTTGTTTCTTCACATCTTTCCAATACTTGGCATTTTTCAGGCTTTCAACATTTGCCAGTCTGATGGGTGTGGCGTTAATTTGTGTCTTTCTCTTTGCTGGTGAAATTTAGCCCCTTTCCTGCATTTATGGCTATTCAGATTTCTTCTGTGAGTTGCCTGGTGACGTCCTTTGCTCATTTTGTTTTATTTTGTCTGCTTTTTTGTCTTTTTTGTTTTTACATTTTATATTCCAGGGTTCTGTAGTTATTGTTTGGTACTGGTCTTCCTTTTTATACGTAGAGTGATCATGTGATGGATTAGGCCCCTGGCCCTTTCTGGGAGTGAGCAGCGACTTTAGCAACAGTCACACCCGGCAGCGGCTGGGAACGGGACTGTCCCAGGCAGGGTGTGCGGAGGGCCCTCTCATCACATTCATCGTCTCTGGGAACTACATCATCTATTAATAGTTCCAGCCTGTGGAATAGTTTCTGTGAAACTTTCATTGACTAGTTCGTCTCCCCCTCCACACCCTGATATGTAAAGCCATTTTTGTGATTTTTCATGTTCTGTTTTTGGGCTATCTTCTTTTCCATTCTTGTAGTAAAATATCCT